AAAAGCAAAGAAGAGAAACACAACACACACACACACACACACACACACACACACACACACACACACACACACACACACACACACACACATACGTCATCAGTTACTGTACAACACAAACATCCACAAGGATGGCTGCCGATTGGCTGAAGGGACAAAATTCAACATCAACAGAACAATCTGTCACAAGATGGATGAATTGACCCACTGTAGGAACTTTCTATGTTTTGGGTTTTTTGGCACGGAGGCGGAGACATTTGCCTGGTTAGCTGGTTAGCAGCCAAGAAGATAAACTATCCATTGAAGCTAGCCTCCTAATAAAGGTTTTTGTTGTCGTTTCTGCTGAGTCACTAAAAACTTTTACACGGAAGCCATCTTGGTTCCTGACTTGATTTAAGATGCTTGCTTGTTTTTAGGTTTGAAACCAGTTGCACTCTGGTTTAGGTGTGTGAATAATGGACAATGCAGATGAAGAAGAAGAAACAAAAATACAAGGAAGGTGTAAACGTATAGCTAATATATGTGCATATAGCGTGAACCCTCAAGTGTTCACTTTTCAATATTTGTGAATTTGCCCTGTCTTCAAGAATCTTCCATTATTTGTTGAATCTCTATTGTGCACAAGCCAAAGCCATTTGTAATTTTAAAATATTGTTTCGGAACCAATTTGTGGCATCAGGTGGCCAGAAGCTATGTTGAAGTGAGGGGAGGCGCTTCATGTAGGCCATATCCTTGTCTTTAAAAAAAGTGCTTTGCCACCATCTTGTGGCATCTGTAGGTAATTACAAACCTTTTTGAGTGGGCAAAATTTATACAGCGAAACTATCTAAGTGAAATTGAAAAACAGAGCCTAGAGATGATGTTCATCATAGCGTCAATGGCAGCTGTAGGGGAGCCCTGAAACACAGTACTGCACTGCTACTGGGATAAAAAAAGTGCTTTGCCACCATCTTGTGGCATCTATAGGTAATTACAAACCTTTTTGGGTGGGCAAAATTTATACAGCTATTTTTGGTAGCGGACACTGTGCAGTATTTGAACCCTTTGGAATGAGCTGGATTTCGACATAAATTGGTTCATGAAATGCGATCAGATCTTCATCGAAGTCATAACATGAAAAAGAAAAAGTGTGTGACCCGCACGGCTAATGAATTCATTCTTCATGAGAAAATCGGAGTCAAGAGCCAGCCAAGCTAGAGAATCGAATCATTGTCACGAGATGGGAGCGTGCACAAAACAGACATTCGATTGTATTTCGCTATTTTCAAGCAGCATTGCCTGACGTGACACATGATAATACACCGTCTCATCCGTGTGGAATCGTTTGCCAACGCTTATGAGTCATGGCTTTGATAAAGATCGTCAGACATATTATGACCGACAAATGCAGAAATCCAGGAATCATTCCAAATGGCTTGGATACTTTCTTGCAACAGATATATATGAAGATATATCGATATATACACTTTATTTATTGATGTGTTTATTTTCTTTTCATTTGTTTGATCTTTGTTAGTTTGTTCGAGTGTCAGCTTAGACCTTGGATTATTTATTTATTTATTGACAGGGTGTCAACTTGCTTAACGTGAATAATCAAACGCCCGGTTACTCCCCTGCCCCCGGGAGTGTTGCATGATGGGACGGCTGCAAGCAGGCACTCGCTTCCGATTCTTCCTGTGAAGGGAGAACGCAACAAGGATGTGTGATCATTGCGAAAGGACACTCGCTCGTGCAATGACTGACTACCAAGTCCCACTTTTATTATTCAGTCGTACGGTAAAATCTTGCCTTACGTGATTCATTTGTATCAATTCACAAAAGTTAAAGCAATCCAGAATGTCATCACAATTTCGTATAACTTCCTGAATAGCTCACCAACTTCCCGTCGGTTCACATCTGATTGGAGAAAGAGGTGGGCGCCCCCTGCTCTGCGTCCTGCAAACATGAACAGACCGAGGCGATGCCCAATCTTATGTTCTACTTGAGCTGGATGTTCTACAGAAGGTCAGACCAAGGAAGTTCTGGTCGTCCACCACAAGGTTGCGATTGTGGCTATTAAGAATGTTCTGGAGGTTCTATGTGTCAAATGTTCGAAAGAAGGTTCTCGTGGTGGTCACGGGGGTTTCATAGCCCACGACAAGGGAATGAATGTGGCCAGTGAGAAGGTTCCAGAGTTGTGTCTTGATGTTCTACAGAAGGTTGTAGCAACCGATGTGCCTCGCTCACCTGGCTGTAGCCCTGCTGGTTGTAGTCAGGCTGGTAGCTCCCCTGGTTGCTGGCGTAGGGATCTTGCTCATAGGCTCCTGGCGCGGTAGTAGCAGTAGGGGGTTTCTCCTGAGCAGGTGGAGCTCGCATGAAGGGGGCGATGATGCCCGTCTCCTTGAAAACGAACCACAGGTTTCCCACCCATAGGACCACATTGATGAAGCCGAATGCCTGCGCACAAATGAGGGCGGCGCTTCATGAGCAGTTACTTGTGATTATGAGACGTCGCTAGCGGTTGTTCACTGTTGGTAGCGGTCACTTGTGGTTTTGATAGGTGGCGGTTGTTAGCAAGTGCTATCGGTAACTAGCAGTCATTAGCGGTTGTGAGCACTCGTCAGAAGGTGTGAGCTGGCGTTAGTGACCACCAGCCGACAATGGCAGTCGTTAGCTGCCGTTAGAGATTGTTAGCTAGCGTTTGCAGTTGTTACACGAGGGGTTTTCCTGGTTGTTAGCAGCCATTAGTGGTCACTGTCAGCCTCTCAGTACTCAATGGCAATTGCTAGTTGTCGGTGGCTGGAGTTTGCGGTTGTTAGTAGTCAAGAACCATCGTTAGTAGTTGATAGTGGCCACTATTAAATGGTTAGCCGTCATCGGCAGGTGCTAGCAGCGTTTAGCGGTCATTAATTGTCGTTTGCGGTCACTAGCTATAGTTTGCAGTTGTTAGCAGTCACTGTGGTTGTTAGAGGTCGCAAGTGGTCATTACAGGTTAACTCGTGTTGTTGGTAGTTGTGAGCTGTCATTCGCGGTCATGAGTGGCTGCTAGCCATCATGAACAGCTGTTAGCAGTCATTGCCGCACCACAGACGTGTTGAGTCCAGACATGACAGGGTCGTGGACTTCGCGGCATCGGTTCTCTTCCGCGTCGCAGGCTCCAATCAAAGTGATGACCTGGTCTGGGTCTGTGGCCACCTTGACGTCCGACAAACCCTTGGCCCATGCCGCTGAGCTCACCAGCCACATGAAGGCAAACACGGCGCTCACGCCAAGGTCCTGAAAGGCAGCACGAAAACACACACCGTACAAGCACACGTCAGTCACATCACATTACATCACCTGCTTTTATGTTCAAAACATTTCCAGAGCAGCCAAGACCTTCATCCCTGCCACAATCTAGACTCCTCCGACTGAATCCTCTGTATTAGCACTAATATTAGCATGAACATTAGCGCTTCTTTTGGCAATCAAATCCGCCAGTGACATTATCATTATCGTTATCACGACGATGAACATTAATATTAGTCTTCAAGCTATTATGAGTGTTTGCGTTGTGAGAACGAATATGAGTGTCTCAAGCTTACTGTAGCCTACAGTCAGTAACATGACTACACACTCACCACCAGTGGGCCCTTGTTGTTCTCCTTGTACTTGTCGAAGAGGAAGACATAGACGCTGAGTGCTGCCGTGGCATACAAGAAGGAGAAGACGCCGACGGTGACAAAGCATTCCGCCGAGGAGGAATAGTCGCCGACCAGGAAGATACGCTCCGGGTTGCCACCCTTGCAGGTGGGGGCGTCAAAGTACTCGTGATGCAATCTGACACGTACACAAACATTCAAAATGCACTCATGTTAGCAGGAGTATTTGTGCTCATACAAGCAGAAACATTAGGGCCAATGTTGGCTTTCATGTTGACCACTAATATTAGATTTCATAACTTTCATAACTTTGCTGCTGTAAATTGGGAATTTCTCCATTGTGAGACAAATAAAGGTTTTCTTATTCTTCTTATTTAACCTTAGCCTCAACATTGGTATTATAGGCCAAAAGGAAAGGATGACCAACATTAGAATTACTGCTAGCAGCATTGACGGTATCACTAGTATTAGCATTAACATTAGCATTACAGTCGAACTTCATTTCAACGTACCCCATTTACGTTTACGTTTTCGCCCTTATAACATTTAAAAGAAAAGTCCCAGTCATTCGTTTTCCATTTGCCGATTGTGCTGACAAAAAAACACCTTTAGAACATCAACTACATTATAAGGGTCAGATTTTTCCCACAAAACAGTGAAATAGCCTTCGTTACAATGAAACGCGGGAAGCTAAATGTAGCCGCGACCTTGCTTTGCAACAAAATATATGGTGCGGGATTCCCCTCCGTTGCTTCGCGATGCTACTGTTTGACTCGTACATTGTTGTACTTCCGGAGGCACGGCGCACGCGGTCTGAAAACATGTCTAGTTTAACGGAAGCGGATGTCCGCTGTCTGTTAAGGCTAATATGACCATTACTGTCATTGATAGCCTTAGCATCAAGGTTAAAGAGGAAGTCAAGTCAATCATTTTCACAAGAATATGCGACCCCACTCGTCTAAAAACAGCATTCTGTCCCTCAGAGCTCAGTTTAGGAACGTCAAATGACCAAATTCAGAAAACAGGTGAGCCGTGATTGCTCGTTGCCCGTAGGCACTGTGAAATCATTTCACAAAATGGCCGTCTCCTGAGATGGATAAAAACCAGGTCTATTTTTGCTGCTTAATTCATATTCCACAGAATGCCATGTTTAGACGAGGAGCAGTGCGTCGAACATATCGTTGTGAGTCCAATTTTTGACTTGATTTCCCCTCAAAGAACGGTGTTATCATAGCGTCACATGGACTCAAGGTCCGGTTCCTGACCTGAAAGGATATTCGAACTCCACCTCGATGCTCAAGTCACTTTCCGTGCGGTTCTTGCACTCCACGGCCATGCGCAGCATTCCTGAGTAGCTTCCGCATGTGGAGAAGGCCAAGATGGAGAAGAACTGGGGAATAAAAGCTCCATTGTTACAAAGCGTGTGCTCATCTCATACAGTAAACCTCTTTGTTGGGTGTTCACTGACCCACTGTAGAATCTTGATAAAGCCCAGGGGAACCTTCAGCACCCTGAACTGACCCTGGGCCACCAGCTGGGGGAGACATCAATTCTTTGTTATTCCCTGAAAATTTGCTAGCCATGTAAGTCTATGTTGAAGTGAGTTTTAAGAGGCTTCGTTTCGACAGAGGCAGTGCTTTGCTGCCATTTTTTGACACTGTGATGCTAAGGATATAAAAGTGAGTTGCGGAGTTTCACGTCTACAAAAGATGCACTTTGGTGACATTTTGTGACTCTTAAGACAATTCTAAACCTTTTGGCAGGGGAGGGAAATTATTGCCTGTTATTTATTCGGATTTTTGAAAGACACACACACACACACACACACACACACACACACACACACACATACACACGTCTGCCTGACATTTGATCGAGGGGGAGCTGTAGCACTTTATTTTTTAAATTTTTTTTTGATCATTTTTTTTCATGATCAAGATATCCAAGTATTATTAGGACCTGACAGTCAAGCGACTGACAGACTCGGGATCAGCCCCCCCCTAGCGGCCACCCTTCTCCTAGCCGTTAATTTAAGGACACGACATTGTGGCGTCATGGCGAGGTCACGTGACAGGGGTGGATGCTTTTTCATCAGCTTCATCATCCTCTGCTACGCCCCCGCGCCCCCCCCACTGCCATTTTACGCATTTCTTCATGCACGCATACACGAAGGACCGGATGACGTCATGTCATGTGTCGGGCACCGAGACGCGCACGCGCACGTGCCGTGCGTGCCTCGCAAATAATCCAGCTCGTCTTCGTCCTAATGTGTTGCCGTTCACGTTTACGCGGACGCCCGTCTTCGTGAACGCGCACAGCAGGCTTGATCATGCACGCGCAAAAACGCGCGGCGGACGTCGAGCGCCAACGTGCAAAGATGTCCCAATAAAATCTATCATATAGTTCCTCGGGGCCGAGGAGTGGGGTGAAAAGTGTTAGTTGTTGTTGGTTTTGTTTTGTTTTGTTTTTTGTTTTTACCTGATTGACGACGTCCATGATGCTGGATGTGAAAGAGCGCCACACCAGATGGACCAGGAGGGGGAGGATGTTATTGGAATGGGAGAGGAGGAGACAGGGGAGGGAGGACCTGACGTGTTTCCTGTGCGCTCCTCTTATTTTGTTATTATTCATATGTTAATACTTCATCCACGGAACATAAATAAATACATGCACCGTTCCAGCACTGTGGGACCATTTAGGCGCCAACATTTTGGGGAAAACAGACCGTTTGATCATTTTTGTTGTTGTTTACATGAAAAACGCGTTGAAAAAAATGCTGCTCATACAAAACTGCTTCAACACGGCAGCTCTGCTTATCTTTTGACTTTGACATGATCACCCCTGGTCATGGTAAAACGTTACATGATTACTGTGTCAACTTTGGTACCGAAGAGCCCAAATGGATTGAAATAAATCAAATAAATTATGTTTCTTCTTCTTTGCTCGTCAATCTTCCCGTGGGTGTGTGTTGGAATTGCACGCAAAAAGCACATCCATCTGACATGCTGGGAATTTAGGCAGATTATGCGATGGTGTGACTGGTCCACATGTGGGCTGCACTTAGTGCATATGGACGACAGGGGGCAGCGTAGTTCCCCCCTCTGGGTAAACGTCTACGCTAGCAAACTGACATTGTAAAACAAAGTCATGCTTTGTTTTTTTTTTTTTTTATACTTCTGAGATATGCTTTATTTATCCTGATACCGAAACAAGCTTTTAAATTGTTTATCAGGAATAACACAACTAAACCTCCAGGGAAATTAAAAAAAATATTTCAAATACATTTTCCTGAAAAAAATGAAGAGACTCAAATCATCATGAATCACAAAGCTGTACTATGACATATTGTGACACATAAGTGTGTGCGTGTGTGTGTTGTATGAAGTCTTGAGTGATCAAACACACATTTGTTTTTTGTTTTTTGTTTTTGTTTTTTTTTTTATTTGAGGTACGCACGGTTGACTTGGTCCCGCGACTGAAATTTGGAGGGAAACCCATGAGTGAGCCCTTCGGTCGATGGTCAGGAAGAACACGAGAAGACAAGAGAGCTGCTGATGTTCAGCATCAATACAAAAAAAGAAGAAAAAAAAACATCTTGACAACAAAAAATCGATCAAAAACGAAAATTCACCTTCCAGTAGATCCAGAACTGATATAAAAGTCACAAACCCGCAAGAGTATCCTGACGGGGGCGCCAGATAGGCGGCAAGAGCTTCCACATGGGACGACATGCTAATGAGAAGTCGCTCGTCCGCTGTACAGCTAGCTAGAAAAATGTACAAAAAAATGGATTTTATTGGCATGTACTCAAAAAGTAGGAGTGCTAATTGATTCTGCGAGTAGTCTTGACAATTCGATTACTCAAGTCTGATCACCTTTCAATTAGTTATGTCTGATCAACTTCCATTATGTCTGATCAACTTCCATTGGTCATGTCTGAATAACTTTTTTTTTGCCCATTTTGTCAAGTTTGATGGATTTATTTTGATTAGTCCTGCCTGATTATCTTCTTTTTATGTTACTCGCGCCTGATCAAGTCATTTTGATTAGCCAAGTCAAAATACAATTTTTCATTTAGTCATGTCTGAGTGACTTCCTTCGATTCGTCATGATGGATTGAGTCATTTTTCCATTAGTCACGCCTGATCAACTTATTTCTTTTAGTCATCTCTGAAGAGCTTCTCTGAGTCATCACCTCCTGAATACCTTTTTTTCGATTAGTCACATCTGATGGACGTTGGTTCATCATTTTGAGTTGAGATGAGTTAATCATGTCTAGTTCAATTTGTCATGTCTGGCCAATTTTTTTTCCCAATTGGTCATGCACAATCAACTTGTTTCTATTTTTCATGACTGACCAACTTATTTTGATTCATCATGTCTGACCAACTTATTTGGATTCACCAGGTCTGACCGGCTTATTTTGATTAATCATGTCTGACCATCTTATTTCAATTGCTGATGTCTGTACAAGTTTCTCTGACTAGTCAAAGAAGTATCTTATCCATCAGACACGGCACAGATAGTGATAGCAACGAGGCGTGCATGAAAAAGTAAAAGTTTTCTTTTTTTTTTTTTTGCGTTATACTCTCCAAGTGAATCCTTTAACACGCGTTAGCTGATAGCTAACAGTTAGCACACTGTCAAAAAAGCAATTGTTGAACCCGTTCTTTCCCACAACGTGGCAGCTCACTTGACGCTCGTACAGTGAAGGTCAGCTAGAAACCCACTTGGCCACCACTTAGCAATTAGTAAGGAGCTTGTGCCTAGGCTAATACGCATCTGACGTCATCGCGATGTCCATGACAGACAATAATGCTTGTGCTAAGCTAGGTCAAACTAAAAACATATAACATTGTAGTGTTTGCTGGGAGACTTTAAAATGTCCAAACTATCAAAAGGAGCAGAAATTAGTCCATGTTTTATATCTGCGCAGCGAGCATGCTATGCATCCGGCTGGAAATTGCTAACAGATAGCACCCAACACCCAACTGCAAGTTTTTCTTCAGCAGTTGTTGTTTGTAAACACTCGGAGGTCCGTCGTCGTCGCCCACTTGAGAATGTCGAGCGTGATATGCGACTTGAAGCCACATACGTGAGCTCCTCTGTCACTTCCCTGAATTGGGTTCTACTTCCTGCAGAGCTTCTCAGACTGCCCACCTCCCTGGTCTCTGATTGGCCATGAGCATCCGTCCATCAAAATGACGTCACGCAGCTCATCTCGTCGGCCAGTTCTTCCTCCTCTCGGCCGGTCCTGATCGGCTCCTCGTCGCTGTAGAGCGCGGCGGCATCTCCGGCCGCGGTGTTGAGGAAGTCATGGCTGGCGGACCCCAGCAGATCGCTGGCGGCCGATTCCATCTCGTCCACGGTCATGTGACATGCGTCGGCAATCTCCCGCTTTGCAAACGCCACGAATTTGGGATCGCGCGCATAAAGGCCGAGACCTTCGGAGATGAGAACCTGTCGAGAAAAAAGAAAAAAGAAAATCATCAGGACTTCTGACATCCCAACCCACTTCTGCTCATTATTCACGTCTGGACAGGTTTCACTGATTAGTCAGATTTTACCTTCTTTTGAGTCGTCATGACATCTTTTGATTTGTCTTACCTGTACAGCTTCCCCTGAATAGTCAGGTTTGAGCAAATACTTTTAATTAGTCTACTTATTTCAATTGGCCATGCCAACTTACTGTATTTTGATTCGTCACGTCTTTCAGCTTCCTCTGGTTATTCAGATATGAGCAACTTCTTTCAATTAGTCATGTCTGACGGATTTCCTTTGATTAGTCATGTCTGGTCAATGCATTTCGATTGATTAGTTATCCCCGATCAACCTATTTTGATAGGCATGGCTATACAACTTCCACAGATTAGTCATGTCTGATTAGCTTTTTTCGATTAATCATGTCTGATTGACTTCCTTGGGTTCGTCATGTCTGGTCAATGCATTTCGTTTGGTGCAACCTATTTGGACAGGCATGACTGTATAACTTCCACAGATTAGTCATGTCTGAATAATTTTTTTAAAATTTCGTCATATCCGATGAAATACCTTCAATTAGTCATGTCTGATCAGCTTTTTCAATTGGTAATGGCTAATCTGATTTTGATCACGATGTCGGTGCAACTCCCCCATGCTCAAATAACTTTTTTCACGAGTCGTTTGTTGGATTTCTTATGATTCGTCGCGCCAGCTCAATTTACGGAACTTCATGACGTCCGTACAAGTCCTGATCAGTCATATCGGATGGACTTCCTTCAATTTGTCAAGTCTAGTCAACCTTTTCCGATTAGGAATGGCCAATCTCCTTATTTTGATCGCCATGTCTGTGCAACTTTGTCTGATTAGTCATATCTGATGGACTTCCTTCGATTAGTCATGCCTGATCGACTTCTTTCAATTTGTCGAGCCTGATCAACTCCTTCCGATCAGTCGCGTCCTTTTTCTGTTGAGTGATGTCTGATGGGCTTTTATCAAGCAGTCCTATCTGATCGCCTTTGGTCTCACCGCCTCCACCAGGCTGTCGGCCGAGCCTCGTTTCTCGCCAAACGGCGCGCCGAGCTGAGAAGGAACTCTGAGGGTGGTGTACGCTCTGTAAGGAGGCGGGGCTGCGCAACATAAGGGACGTGTCAAATGCCGATCGGCTATATAGTGGGCTCATTTCGATTCTGAGGTCTTGGCTCACCTCCGGGGCCGCCGTACCAGGCGGGACTCGGCGCCGCTCCCGTCACGCTAACGCCTGCGGGTGGAAACGCAACATCCGATGAGCGGCCCCGGTGACTGTCGGTTTGTCAGCGCTGAGCTGAGCGAACGCGGCTCACCTCTTCCCGCTCCTGTCGGCTTGTCCTCGCGGCCGCCTCCTGTTCCTCCTCCTCCTGATCGCCCCCATGACGGGCTGCCCTCCTCCTCCACCAGGATGAGAGGAGCGTACAAGAGGCGCCCGCGGCGAGGGCACGGATTGGCCCAGGATGTGGAGGACGCCGTAGAGGCCGGACCGGACGACGGGGGACAGTCGTAACTGTTGTACGTCTGCGGGAAAAAAGCAACGGGCGTTGACTCCGCGTGAGCGTGTGTTCGTGCGTGTGCGTGCGTTTTCATTTGTGTTTGCCTGAGTGCGGGTGCGGCGCGGAGGAGAATTAGGGTGGTAGGTTCCCGGCATGGGCAAGTCGTCACTGCTGCCCTGACGTCTCAGACACTGAATGTTGAACGACGGCTTTCGACCTGTCGGCCAGCTCTGCTGTCAGCCATCTTTGACGACGACGCGCAGACGTTGGAATTGGTTGCGTCTCACCTGTGGGCGTGGCCGGAAGAAGACGCCTCCGTGTCGTCCTCCTGCCCTCGCTGTAGCCGTTACCGTAGTGACGGTAGGGGGCGTGGCCATCGTGGTGCAGCGAATCATCAGGGTAATACCTAGAAACACACAGATGCATTGTACACGTGCGACAGCAGCCATCGTGCGTGCGTGTGTGTGTGTGTGTGTGTGTGTGTGTGTGTGTGTGTGTGTGTGTGTGTGTGTCTCTCTGTGTGGTAG